CCCCTCAAACTCCACGGCAACAAACAGCGTGTTTGCCTTTGCATCGCGCTCTCCCTCTACCCGGTAAAGGCCGATATTCGCGCGCAGATATCGGTCATGCATCATGCAGCGACCGTGTCAGCTCGGCACTAACGATGCAACAGATCTTAGACTCACAAGTCGTGGTCACATATCCAAGGACGCTTATCGGTCCACGCGGGGAGGAAAAGATTCCTCTGCAAGCAGCGCTAGCTTCGACCAGAACATGGCGCGTCTGACCTCCCACTGTTGAGCACTCACTTTATGCACTCGAGTGATGACTTCGGTGCTCACTGATGCGGGACGCAGCTCCACTTGATCCCAGTGAACGGGCTCTCCCTTCCAGTGCCCGATCTCCGAGACGGCAACCAGTGAGCACTCTGTCAATGGCTCGCCGTCGACCTGACAGATACAAGATTCAAGATTACCTGGCCGGCTCGCTCACCAACCTCCATGGGATGCGATATCCTGATGCAATCCTCCACCGTGCATCGGCTCCAATGCCCTGCCTGCAAGACAGATCTACAATGAGCTCGGACGTCTGGCGTCGACGCTAACACCAGACCGTGTGGTGCCAGTGCGGGCGAGCTGATGAGAAGATGACTGTGCGTAGAGGCCAACGCGGGCACGACGAACGCAGGATCCGATGCAGGCCTGGTCTCAAGAGGGCACCAGCTGAGCGCCCTGGCCTGCCGCTCCCCATGCATATCTCCGTGCGTGAAGTTCATGGTGGCGGCTGGCACGACGGCTGAGCACGATATAACGGAAACGTCTCAAGCGGTCCTCACTCGAGAACTTGCACGTCGCGAAGAGCACACACGGTATCTGCGCCATGCAAAATGATGGCAGCGTCTCGTAGACTCGTGACCTCGCAGCTAGTCGACTACTCCCTCGGGTGTTCTTTCAACGTCGTCGTCGCGTCGTGTCCGCTCAGATGTGCGACCATCGGTGCGGAGAACATTGGTCGTGTTCATGTATGTGAGAATTCAGGTAATCTTCGCATTTTCTCGATTATTTTACAGTATTCTGGTGTACATCGCTACATTATTGAATAAAACATGATTATATTTAAGATGATGCAGCGGCTAGAGGGCCAACCGAGCTCGAGATACACG